AACTTACTGACCTTATCGGACTTGGTTTTCATATACAGTATTCCAGTTCTGCGATACTGATACTATTTTAAAAGATGGGACTTGAGATAATTAGGTTTACTCGCCCAAGCTGAATCTCGTATTTTTCGCATTCCAGGATGCGTATTTTTTCATGAAAAGTCGTATTTGCGTATTTTCGGCAAAAAATCGTACTAAAATACGTAAAAGCGTACTGGTTGGCATCTCTGTGGTGATGAAGAGGGGGTGTGGGGAGATGGCGGATGGAGAGTGGGAGAGATAGGAGGGGAGGAAGTGGACTCCATGTCCTCCTCCGTCTCCAGACTGGAGTGTTGTTTTTTGCAGGTGTTCTGCTTTCTATTTGTCAGAAGGACCTTTCGGGTTGGGTTTACTGACCCTGGTACAGTCTTCGGGACTTCTGAATATATTTTTGTTGTATTCTTCGGCGTCGATCCTTTTGGGTATAGCGTTGCTCTTGCTTGAGCGAACGTTCCGCCGTACTGGGCCCTATGTGTGATGATGGCTTTCTCCTGACACCACTTCGGACACTCCGTCGAAGATGCAATGTGACCCCCCTGTCAACAATTAGGACACCAGGGATCTACAGAGTAGGTCTCCTCAGAGTGTCCTACCTTGCCGCAGCGAGGACACGCTGCATCACAACGACAGCGCAGCTGTGTGTGTCCGAAGCGCTGACAGTTGAAACAGCACATCGGTTTCTGTATATATGGTCTAACTTCGAGTTCTAAGTATGCAATGTCTAATTTTGTTGGTGGTGTGGGTGTGTTGAAGGTAAGGATCCACGTGTTGGTACAGATTTCCTTGCCATCCGGGCGTATTTTGATACGACGAGCATGGACAATTCCATCGACCTCCTGAACCATTTCTTCTTCGGTACAGCCGCAGAGCTCTGGGCTTTTGATGACACCCTTGGATGTGTTCAGACTTCTGTGAGGCTGAACACATACAGGGATGCCACCAAATGAGGTGCAGGCCAACAGTTTGCCTGATTCAATGCTGGAACCTGACTTGTATCAGGAGGTCCGTGGATCCTAGTTTTTTAATATATTTTGGTTTGTGTATACCGAAATGTTTTAGGGACTTGTGTATCTTAAAAACGCTTAGGTTAGTGAGATTTGTATCTTGTTTTTCATAAAATGGTGACCACCCCAATGATGTTCTCTTTGGTAGGTCTCAGATGCTGACATTGTCAGCATCTTCGCCCGAAAGGCCCTTCTTTCTTTTACCCAGGCCAGGAGTTGCACCTGCTTCTCCTGTCTGAGACTTGTTGGGAATTGGGGTGGGAGAAATGTTTTTGATTGAATCCATGTGTATTTTGTTTTTTATTCATCTCCAGGGCTCCCCACCCGCCACCGAGTCCAACAAGGGGA